GTTCAGGAGGGGTTGGGTCTGTCTGGTTAAATATGAACACATTTAGCATTAGTTTAAGTTTATATATTAAGTTAAATTGATGTCGCAGATAGGAGAAGGTAAAGAAATGTGAAGGTTCATCACTGCAGAGCAGTTTTATTGTTCGTGATTGTTCTTTTAATAAAAGTGCATAAAGATATGCTGTCACTCTTTTGCAACGTTGGTTCGGTAATATCATATTTCATGCTGTCAAAAATTGTTAAAATCTATGGCGGAAGTAAAGACACTTTAAAGTATTAAAAGCGGAGCACATGGATGTTGCACAAATCTACTGGTTTTTCAGACAATATGGCGGCCTTAAAACCTCGCTTAACATGTGTTTTTCAGGTAAATTTTTATCATATCCCTTTAACTTACATACGAGACCTGTTGCAGCCTACGCAGAATAAAAAAATGTTGCCGCCTATACCTTATTTTCACCCCTGTGCTCATAGCTTTTACAAACACTCAAAAATTGAATTCAAGAAATTTTGAATGTGGATAATTATTTTGCGGGTAACAGTCACGCAAAATTTGTATTTATTTATGAATTTGATTAAACTACGTCGAGTTAGCAATAGAAAAGAAAAGGTTCATAGAATTTCTTTATCTGAAAATGTAAATATAAGCATGTTAAATGTTGACTGGTCATTTTCTATTCCAATACATGAGAGAAAAATGATTTTGATAAAGGACACACTTACTTTTATAGTTGATAACTCCCACGTAATATTTTATGTGCAAGCAATATCTATGCAGGTTATAGCCTAGATCTTTATTGAACAAAATCATGCCTGATGCATTTAGCCTTAAACTTTCATAGAATTTTGAATAATATTAAAAATACCGCCAAAAGGTACAGGATAGAATTAAGCCCCTATGGGTAGCAGAATACATACTCTCGTGAATATATTAAATGAAGTTTCGATATGATGAATTAATCGCAGAAATTAAAATAAAAGTCTCAAATATAAGAAGGAGGTCGATTTCAGTTTAAGCACAATTACAGTTGTCTTTTTTCATAGTTTGCAGATATGGAAGGTTCTAGTTCTGATATTGTTTGTGGATAATGTTGGAAAACATTTACCTCAACATTATAAGGTCCTTTTGCCGAGTAGTCTGTTTATGTGGTCATTAATTGAGACCTATCCGTAAATGAAATGTTTCCTACATCTATAACAAACAATTTTCGAGCTGGAACCTTCCATATTTGCAAAATATAAAAAATGACAACTGTAATCGACTAAAACAGAAATACCTTATGGTAGGCCTTACGCGAAGTTACTGATTTCATTGGCAATTTATGATTTTACAATGATGCCTTTTTGAAATTTATTTTTCATATAATAGTTACCTATAAGCTAATGAATTGTTGTTCGGCCCATATAATTTACGCCCCAAGACGATTTGTCAATCTAGCTGTATTTATATCTTAGTTATAGTAAAATCAAGTGTGAATTAGTTTGAAAATACATAATATCTATTGTATTATCAAAACAAATATTGATTAAACTGTTCTTGGGGTTAAATAACAAAGTTGATTGTTAAATTTTAAGTTTAATAACCCTGAATTTATAGGGAATGCTAAATCTATTTTATATTCTAGAGTATTGCAGCTCGAGCTTGTATACCATGCATTTAACATGGAAAGGATTGTCAGTTTGTTGAATTGAAATTCTAATAATAATATATTTATTATTTCTTTACAAAGTTTAATTATTTCAACTTCTGGATATTTATCTTGTCTTAATAATAGGATATTTTCAGAATATATTGTAACATTATTAATATAATTTACATATTTGTAACAGTTGTTTTCAGGGTGCTATACACAATGGTCTTAGCTAGAGCCCGGAATGAATTTATCTTGGGAAAATGCTGGAAGTAACTGATAGGGAGCAGTTTTTTATTACCAATCATAGGTGAGACTTCTAAATAGCTTCTTTTAAAAAGATTTTGTTGTTTTATGTACATAATTTGTTGTCAATATGAAACTTCAGCTGTATCTTAATTTCAATGCTGTTTTATTATGTAAGTCTTAGAGATAAGCATTTTAAGATAAAACAAATCACTTAAGTGATTAATTATTTATATTATTTGAGATTGACCAAGTCACTTTTAACTACTAACTTCTTATTTTATTTGCAGAGCCAAAGAAGTATTCAAACACCATCATGAAACACTTAATACATACCCAGAGAGATCTAGAAGCAGTACTAGTAGTAGATTGGAACATATTGTAGCTTAATTGTTAAACTAAAAGGAGTTCTTAAATCGTTTGAATTTAAGCTGCACTTGAACTAAATTTTTGGAATAAAATATCTAAAGTATTTCATAGTATCTTGATTTTTTTGTAACAGTTGTTTTCAGGATACTCTAGCAAGACTATTTCCAGAATTATGCCCCTTTTGAACTAAGACTTTTTTCGAGAAACTCCAACTTCTTCAATCATAATAGGATTTTCTTCAAACTCCCACATCATAATAATATGACAAGGTTTATAAAACTAGCATCCATATTTCCTGATTATCTCCTTAAACTTTGAATTTTTCTTATTCATTCTTTTAACTTTCTTTTACTTCAAATTCAAAATAAACATTCATTATCAACACCTTCATTACTAATTGGTCTTACACTCACATCATGTATGACGTCTTGCATCTTTATTTCAAGAGTTATTTCCTTTTTAAGAATTTTGCTTTCAAAAATGTTATATTTTGATAACAGGGATGACTAAAAAATATTTTTAGAGTGTCCTTCAGTCCGTCTGTCTGTACATAAAACTATATCCTGTGATCACTTTAAAAGAACTTTTTCAACAAATTTACTTAAAATAGAAACATAAGTGAATGGCCAATGGCCCTTCAGAATGTTGCTGGGGTTCTAACCGGTAGGGGACTTAGGGATTGCTTGTATTACTATGATAATTGAATGTTTTTTAAGTTTTTCAATTTTTTTACAAAAGTATATTTGTTGATCTTGTCAAATATTAAATAATTTTATCGTTTTGTTTTGATTCAAATAGACTTAGGAAATATCAGTAACCATATTTGTTATTAAATGTAGCATTATTCAGCCAATAAATACCTATAATAATGGTTATATGATTAAAATAAAACATCTTTTTTTTGACACCTCAGGGCGTTGAACCCTCGATCGTTAGTTTTGATAAACATGTAGTTGACAGTATTTAGCCTATTTGAATACTTTTCAAAGCGAAGGTAATGTACTAGGGGGTCATACCTTAAAACATTTTCATATTATATAAAACTAATTTAGTACTTACAAGAGGTATTAACTCTTTCTGCAATTAAATCGATTTTAGTGTCGTTTATTATCAGGTTTACACTAAAGAGTGTCTTTTATGGTTGAGTCATAAGTATCGCACTCACGGTTTATCCCTGCGTACAGGCGACTATATAATAACTGGAATCTCTGCATCTCTTAGCTCCAGCAGGTAAGGTGGTTTTTACCTCTGGTTTTGCTTTTAGTTTGTAACACCCAAGGTAAGCCAAATTCAGCTTTCCTGTCTTCAGCCCCATATGACCAAAATTGTGATGGTGCGCCGTAAAACCAAACAATACAAAAACAAACCTGATACTTTTTTTGTCCTCAAAAGGGGCATAAGTCAGATCATGGCGTCTTTAATAAATTAATAATATTTGGCGTTCAGACCTAGACCTCTAAACCAAGACTCGCCTTGCCTTAAGAAAATTGTATCTCAATATTGTGCACGCTCCAGCCCGCAGGAACTAATCGTTTATTATATGAGATTGAAAAAATCACAAACGGCATATAAGGTCCTGGTAATATTTATTGTATATTAATATTATAATCTAAATGATAATATACTAATAATATAAACCATACATCATACAATCATATATATCTGTCTTACATCGAAAATATGTATTTGAAAATCACCTTTTTCCAATCTAATGCAAGACACATCACAATTGTGTGTATGTACTTAAAAACCAAAACAAAACAAAAATGAGAATAAGACAATAAAACGACATACTTAAGAAAACAACTGATCCAAGAGCAGTTGGAGTTATTGTACTGTTAAGAACACTGGTTGTATATGAAATTCAAGGCTAGAAAACGAAATATTACGTTATGTTTTATAAGTGAACATACATAATAGCATTTAACAATTTTAAAACATCTTAATGCCTAAATCAAGCAACTAATTATGCTGCATTCCCTTATTAATAGGTAAACATAATTAAAACCAAACTGGAAGCAACAATCCTACACAAGTAAAGATAATAATTATGATTTTTATGTCTATAATGAGAGAAATAGTACCAAAAGAATACTTATAGTATTTGGCACACCAAGCTTTTGTATTTTGACTTGGAAATACCGATCAGCGAAATAGACCTTTTAGATAAGGCCTATCACATTAAAGTATTTATCATGTAAACCATGGCGTAGGAGTCTAATAAAACCATTTAATAAAAATAGATCTTACACTATAGTGTAATAACAATATGACGTGACGGCATTAGCGTTATACAAAGATAGCATTAAAGCGCGGTGATGTTAACATTGCACTATAGGTACGTCAACGAAAAATTATTTTTCTTAACTGTAAACCGATCTTATTTTAGATATGTGATCAATCAAAATAATATATATGTGTAGATTCAATACTTAATTTATTGAATTCGTTGAATATAACAATATTATGCTCGCCAAGGGCTCGCATAATATAATTTTTTTCAACTCGGTCAATAATGTCAATCTCTTTTATTTAATTCATTTGTTCGGCAAAAGTCAGTTAATGTATATCTTTTAAAGAAAATGTTTCACTTACTCGGTAAAGATTATTATGAAAAGCAGTCCGTCGTTGTCAACGAACAAAAAAGCAGTACTAACCAAACAACAGTCTATACTGCAAAATTACAGTCTATAGTATATAATATTAAACGACAGTCTTATGAAACGTAACACATTAGGCATACTTAAGGTGGTCTTCAAAGCTCAGTTTCCGTTGAGAGAAAATTCACATCTTCATGACAATCTTTACGTTTGCCATTATTTTCACAACCTGCATGACTTCCAGTAAATAAACTATTGAGCACGTGTTTTCTAAACGACAACAAGCATCTTTCATCAATCGTGTCTTGCCGCTTAGTGCAAAGACTTGCAGCTAAACCTACACAGATTGTCGTACAGAAGCCAATGAAAGAAAACAGTATATATGTAATACTGTATATTGTATGGAGTAGTGATGAAGAACCAACAGTTTCCATAGGTGCAGGCGAGGAAGCAGATGCCGTTGAAAACGGAACATCAGTCAAAGACATTGTAGAAACGTTACTATAATAATATTCCAGTGTATTTTCTATCCTTGCATCTGTACTGTTGCCGTATACAGAACATTCGTCAGTTGGACCATGTGCAAGGTATGGATACGGCGGAACGTCAGAAAAATTACTTCCCATTATTAGCCAAAATACCAATGCACATCCACATAAAAGTCCAATAGAAATACCTGTTGTTGTTACTCTACGGCACATTAGCGATAAAAGAAATAGAGCACAGACGGGACCGTCCATACAGCCCATAAAACCCTGAAAGACAGCTGATACGGAACCCGGAATGTGTAACATCGAGAAGGAAAGCCCCATCACAATGGATCCATAAAACAATACGAAAACCTTTGCTATTCTTGTTGATTGATAAGGTTTCATTTCTCTGAAATTTACCTTTATGACGTCCTCATATGTAATAGCAGATAAACTACTTAGACACGACGACAAGGTACTTAATCCTGCACTAGAAAGGCAGGCTGTAAACAACCCTGCCAAACCTGGTTGGTTACGGAATAATTCCAGTACAGCAAATGGTACGATAGCATTGACATTGTCAATTATTCCAGCTTCGAGAATGTCACAACCTTTCTCAGAAAAGTAAGCAAACAGGAATGCACCTTCGAGTACTCCGATTACAGTAATGGTAACATAAAATGGTGTTGCTATAACAAATAATGCACGTGCCTGGTTCATATTTCGTACAGAATATATTCTTTGCATAGATGGCTGGGTCATAGTCATATAAAGCATTTGAGTTATTGTTCCAATAGACACGCTCCAGAATTGATATCTTATAGTTGGATCAGCGTTAAAATCTGTTGTATCAAATCTATCTTTGGCAAACTTATAAACGTTTTCTAAACCACCAACGTCTATAGATGATTTCACTAAAATAGCAATCATTCCAGCGGTCATGATTATCAGTTGGAAAACGTCCGTCCAAATAACAGCCTTAATACCTCCGATAGATGTATATATGGCTGTCACAACAGTATATATCAAAATAGTTCCCCATGGTGGAATACCCAAAACAACCTGTAGAGCTACACAAGTGCCCACTGTAACTGATGCCATATAAAATAATGTATATATGATGCCTGAACCAAGTGCCATATAACGTAGAACATTGTTTCCATATCGTAGGTTGAAGTATTCATAAACACTTACCAGTTTTAATGGATACATTACTGGAACAACAAACACTGCTGCAAAAATGTATGCAACAGTTATAGCAATGGCATAATATGCTAGTCCGGTTCCATATACATAGCATTCTGCAGGAAGTCCTATAACTACCAATGAGGATTGAAAACTTACAACAAAGGAAAGTGCAGCTGGTAAAGTGCTAGATTTCCGACCTGCAAGAAAATAATCAACGGTTGTATTTCGTTTTCTTTCCCAAATAGCGAAAAATATTCCAATACACAATGCAATTAATATTGTTAAAAAGAAAATGATATAATCCGTTATTCCAAACATATTTCTTTCCTAAATTTTGATATTTTGCTTGCTGCAAATGTTATATGTATTGATGTACATGATAAAATAAATAATACGAATGTCCTCGACCGAGCGCGTTTTGTAAGCTTGAAGGTTAAATGTTTGTGTAACAAGCGTTAATATTTTTAGGTAAAATAAAATAGTAAACTAAAATCATACTGCACAGTTATCTAGCGTGAAAAGTGTATTCTAAAGAAAATCATATGAATTAATATAAAGAGAATTTTTAAGAGGATTGTTGATGTCAAGATGGAGACAGTTTATCCGGTGAGCGAGAAAGTATATCTTGTCGAGATCTATCGTGCTTTGATCATATCTTTGGATTTTTTAAATGGTTTCGTGATAAAACAGCGTAGTTTTGATTTGCTGCTAACCATATGACGTTATGACTGGAGATAGAAAAGATTATCTGGCATAGCTTTATCCAGCTGATTAGCTAGACAGTAGCAGAATAAAATGGTTTTACCGTTGCTCACAACCCTATATGTAACTTATTTTTTAACCCCGAACAAATATTGTGACGATCTAAAAATTTCAACTAAATCTAACAGTAACATTATTGAAGTAAGAGTAACAATAACTCAACTGTCAAAACCTTGTCAACTTGTAAGTGTTCTTGAATATTATTTCGTTTTATTCTTAAAATAAACAGTGATATCTATGTCATAAACATGCAATAAACAACTTTGTATCATGGTTTCGGGACCTTTCTGTTGAAAATGTGTCGGAGTTAAATCATATTCATATACATGCACATTGCGTTAACTGTAGTGCAGGTATTAGTTTACCGCACTCCAGAGCATGCCCATTGATTGGTTCATTTTTGCTGGGGTTTACATATTGTGAAGGCAGTGTAAGGGAAAGCGACAGAAATATCATATTCAGATGCTCGATCATTGGATACTCATTTGTGACAACAAGGAACGAGTTTTCATGTTTGACTATGATACAAATGTTTTTATGTTTGACAATGATTCAAACAAAGCACTCGGCAATCTAAATAATACTCGGGGGATACGCCCCCTCGTACAAATCAAAAAGCCTCGTGTTTCGATGCTCTTTCTGTTTCGTGTTTCATTTAAAAATCAAAAGACAAACTCATTTTAGAGTGAATTTCTCGACAGGCATTGAAACAAAATAACAGTTTTGAACCATGATATGTCTGTCTCATAGTAAAGAACTATAGTATTATAGATTACCAGCGTCGTCCCTTTTTTCTCAAATATATAATTACAAACTGTTTTATAAAGGTATGAGACATTTTCAAATTATAGTTGCGGTTACACATAGTTGCGACTTTTATATTGGACATAAAATATAGAAAAAAAAATTAAATAATTTAGTTGAGTTTATCAATATATGAGAATGAAAGATATTGATAATTCTTTTATTTTAAATGTATGACTAAGTAAACGCTTTGAATAAAGATAATAATAATACGCTCATATATAAAGAGCATGTGTACATGGGCGAAGTATTATCTTTATCTTTTAAGCTATTAAAAGTAAAGTGTATTGATGAAAATTGCAGATAAGTTAAAATAATTTTGTCATGTTTACGTCTTGATTCGACTAGTTATTATTGACGCGTACCATATAATGTCAGTGATAATGTTTTGATACTAGTGTATAAGAGCGATTTATTAATTCGTTACAATAATAATAATTAATTTCAATATATACAGTATATACATGCCATTTCATAGTACTGCACAAAACAAGAAACCATATCACATAATTTTTGTTATGAATAAAACATCAACAAATAACAATCATTATAAAAATCTAATTATGACTTTTAAATAGGACCTTAGGACAAGTGATAAAGTGTAAATATTACCAGGACATGAATGAATATACCAAGGATGACACAAAAAGTGAGTGTGAATTCACTGGTTTCCATTGAGGAAAGATGTATAGAAACTTGTCCAGAATGTTACAATAATGCTAAACCACTTGTATAACTACAATGTCAAATTATTATAGAGATCGTTTTGTGTGATAAAAATGAACGACAACTGTTTATTAAACACTAAACTCTTATGCTTGTAAAGTGACCAGAGGATATCAAAACCACGTGATGACAAAGTTTAAAACAGTAAAATGGAAGACACATATGAAGAATAAAACTTTACGAAATATGCTAGTACTGTAACAAAATCTATAAAATCTTGTTATTAAAAAATAAATTTAAGACATATCTGAAGGAGGTAGAGCGATACAGATATAGGCAGATTAGCATATAATAAACATGTCAGTATTTTTTTATATAAAGGCAATATACATGTATAAATGATTTTCACGTAGACAATTGTTTTACTACATACACTACAGTTCTGCTGATACATGTTATTAAGGTTAAGGAAAATAGTTTTTGACTTCATGACCTACTGAATATGCAAGATGAGTTTAATAGCATAAACAAAATGGAAAATGTCATCAAAGATAACATTCATTTTCTAAATTATAAAATCTAAAATAAAATACAATTAATGTCATATTTGTTATGATGCATGGAATTTGAAACTCATGACGATATCTAACCTTAACAGTCATTTGCGTTGTTATTCCATTTGCAATTTTCGCATTAGCTTTTCTTTTTCATTCATAGTATGAATGCCACTTTCATGAAAATAAGAACATGACAGATTCATATTTGAATGAGGATATACTTATGTTTATTGTAAGTATGTGACAGCCTGTTTACATCAGATGGTTAATTGTAGCACTTTGAACTTCATAATCCTGAACTAAATTTCCCAAACCCTATTTATAATACAATTTTTATGCATTAAACTAAGAAGAAAGATACTTCGAAATGAAGTACAACGTATTTGAAAAACTTGTAAAACTTAAAGTTTAAAAGATCATTTTTATTTAATTTGCAAAATAGGTTAAAACAATCTTAGAAATTTTTTGTCCGCAATTTTCTTTACGTTAGACAGTGTGGTAATACGTTCGCTATACATGTATATTGACAAAATTGTGATTAGTTGATCATACAGTATATACCATATACATGTACCATGTATTAGTCATCAATTATTAATAATAATCATCTACATATCTACACAATCACAACTGAAATTTACTTACTTTGCATGTATTTCGTCGATACATATTAGAACAGTGACAACTATAAGCCAAGAGGTCATTCAGCATGCACCAATTGAAAATATATCAAGCTCGGTTTAAACATATGAGGGATAATCAATGGGCTATTAAAATATATGATTATTTCATATCGTGAGTAAATAAGTTTGAATAATATGATGCCATAAAACTTGTTGGGTTAGAAAAAAATTGTATATTTTAATTGTTTTGTTAACTCATTTGAGGATGATTAGCCTTACAGAAATAAAACTGATACAAAATAAACTGTCGATATTGTGAGATCTACATTAAATATCTAATGGAAATGTCGATTTTGAACATTAACAAGTACATATTAACAAAATAGGAATTAAAGTTTAAAAATTCTATGCATCTTTGCATTTTATATTTATGGCAAATCATAATAATATGAAATACATTTATACAGGATCTCACGTTCGTTCCCATAAATTATGATTGTATATTACGTAACGATTTGAAGAAAAATGATGGTACAAAGTTCGCTACAGACTCGCTTCATAAAACATTTAACAAAACTTGATATTATATTTGAACGAGAAATTCTTTATTATCACATTAGAATACAAATGTGAATAAATGAGAATAAATTTGTTTTGATGTTTTATTCGCGCTTTTGTACGCCGACTTTATTACCCGTGTGCGAAATAAAGAAATACAAAATGTGACTATATATCGCTTAAATTCGACAAAGAAAATATATCCGTCATTTTCTTCTTTTGTATACAATTTCCAAAATGTCCTGTGCTATGTTACTAATATGCTAATCACAATAAGGTTTTTAATGGACGACATTCAGTAGCCATATCACGTCAAATAACTTTTCACAATTTTACAGTTAAAGAACGTGTATCTTACAAGAACGAAATTCGTATTCTTCCATTGACTGCGAATATCCCTGTCCTTTAATTAACTCAAACTTATTAAATTCAACTATCATGGTATCCCATGTTACAAAAAATTCAATTATCAGCATAAACTTGATATCTATATTTAATTTCTGATGCTGCAATACCTGGCTTCTTCAATATATCAACAAGTACCCCTCCGATGATTAAAATATGAACTGGATGATCCATATTTGTGTTAACTGTTTGTGTTAAGAAAACGGCACACATTAAATGAAGATCTTTAGGAATCCCACATAAGAAACGTAAAAACAATTTTAGAAAGGACTGGTAGTTAACTCATAGGTAGCATTTGTCTGTTTTTGTTGCTATTTTAATCAATAAGCTACAAAGAAAAGAAACAAAGCACTTGGATGTTGGCAATATTGACATTGACAAATGTAATTTACTTGCCGCTCGGCACTTACAGCTTGAATAGTTTCTTTGATCTGAGTGGAGTTTCATAAATACTACTTTATTTCAGTATAAAAATACATGGCGTTTCGTGGTACAACTTAGACTTTTGAACTTCAGTGGAGCTTCTGTAATGGTATTAAGAAATGTAAATGACATTACAAATATTGTTTTAATCACCAAAGTGTAAATAAATTGTTTGTGCAGATTTAAATTTGCTGTCTGATGATATATTTTTTAATATTGTAGGTAAAATATCAGGAAAGATATAAGAAGATGAAGATGAAGGAGTCTTTATTTATAATCTTTTAATTGTTTAAACTATATTTATTCTATATTTATTATAATATTACTTCAATTTCATACAATATTTTGTACAGGAATAATAAAGTTTAATAAATTCAAACAAAATCTGAGAAATAAAAGAATATTTGCTGAAATAAAAAAAAACTGATATGCACAGGAAAATATATATACACATTAATAATTTGAAGAGCATTTAGTTATGGCTGGATAATGTGTATTTTAATTTTTTAAAAGTCTATATTCTAAACCAAAATTTAAGCAAAAGTAATATAATAATTTGAAATTTAGAAATATTTTAAAGAGACAATTATCCAGCCACATCCAGGCCACACCACGAGGAGGCGCTCTTATCATGGCCCACCCCACCCCCTCCCTCACTTTTGTCCATGCACATTATTTTTCATTCATGCTAAAATGTTGAATATGATGCCAAGAAAAAAAACAAAGTTCACAGGTTAAATATCAATCACAAATGTCAAGACTTAAGTTCACTGCTAAGATTTTTTTAGTGTTTTTTATTCATTATAACTTATTAAATAAAGTGAAATCATCCTTGGTTGTAGTATCGGGCATGGCAGCCATCCCTACACAGGTGAACATTGCATACAGTGCAGCCATAGACAGACTCTCGTCTCTCCTTCAGGTTCCGGGCGTGAAACTTACACGTACGCTTCTTTCCAGGAAGTCTAGATAAAATATGTCCTTCGATGTTTTCGACTTCAACAAGCTGTCCGAGGAAAGGCTTCTCGGGTTGACTGCGCTTCCGCTTGTTGTAACCTCCAACAAGGTCCTGGATCAGCTCTAGCCTGAAGTCAAGAGCATGTACCTTTTCTTGGTTGTTCGTGTGGAGAAATCACTGTACAAAATCCAGGCGTTAACAATCGCACTATTTAGCAAGAACCAGAAGATGTACCGCCAAGACTTCTTTCCATTTCTGCCAACTGGGTAAGTACTTCTAAACTGGTCCTGAAGGTCAACTCCACCCATAAACTTGTTGTACTGGCTGACTGAATGTGGCTGCTGTAAATTCATAAGTCTGGGACCTACTTGTCTCTGCACTGGTAATATCATCCGAGGATCACTCAGTGTTGAAAGGTGATGAACTGGCTTCTTGTCTCTCCAAACACTAGCAGTTAGGTTTGAGTTCCTCTTCTGAAGGACCTTGAAGTCGCCCCTGTTCCTGACATCAGATGGCTTCTTCAACTCTTGTGGAAACCCCTTTCTGTTGGTGCGAACCGTTCCACAGGCATAAAGTCCAACATCAAGAAGACGCTGCATCAGCTCAACCCCAGTAAAAAAATTGTCAAAAAACAACCATCTAAAGGAGTGCCTGAGGTGGTCTGACAATTTCATCACCACGTTGTGTCCCAAACCATGTTCTGTTCTGTTTTCCTGGCGCCCAAGGTAGATATCAAATCGTGAAAGATAAGCAGACTGTGCATCGCAGAGCATCCAAACCTTTATACCTCTCTTCACTGGCTTGGCAGGCATGTACTGTCTGTAGGATAAGCGGCCAGCAAAGGCTACCATGGCTTCATCGATGGAGACTTCCCGGTGCAGAGTGAAGTAACGTCTAAAGGTATCTGACAAAGAATCTAAAACAGGACGGACCTTGAAAAGCTTGTCAAACCCAGGCTGGTCTCGAGTCGGTTCAGTTGTCCTATCTGATACATGGAGGTACTTCATGATTTGCTGAAATCGGTTGATAGTCATTATCTTCGAAACGGCTGTGTTGCCAATCAGTGGATCTGTTGACCAGTACATCTTGGCTTCTGGAAGCTGGTTGATTCCCATCAAGATGTTTATCCCAAGAAATGCCCTCATTTCATGGACAGTAACCTCCTCCCATAGGTCATCAAACCGGGCTCCAAGCTGACTCATCCGCCAAACTGCATACTCATTCGTCAGTCGAGTGATAAGGCATATCAGCTCAACTGGAAACAGTAGCAGAAAGAACTCAATGGGCAGAGCAGAGGCAGAGTCAATGTGGTCAGGCATGTTGGGTCCAGGTTGTTCTGTGAACTGCTGAATCTGTAAATAAAAAGAAGAAAATTATTGCAAAGTTATTTTTTTAAATGTCAATTGATATGAAAATATTTCACATGACCTCTTATTTTATAAAAAAAAGTGCTGTTTTAGATATAAATATGAGTGTATTTTTATTTATTTCACGTTTTTTTTTTTTTGTTTTTTTTTGTTTTAATATTATTTTATTTTATCATAATATCAACCCACCCTTGGTTGATGGAAATTATTAGACCAGGGTCTAATATTGTCAGCATTATCATCATCATCATCATCACTGCCAGCTATAGATTCCTCACTAGAAGAATCTAAGCTAGGAAAATCTAGCTCATCTTCTGAGAATCCATAAAAAGAAGAACCAGAATCAGAGTCAGAATCGGCCATTGTAAAGTGTTTTAATTATTGCCAAAATTGTAATTATTACTACAAGCGTTGGTGTTCTCAAGCGAACTGAAAAAAATATCTATTGTTTGAATAAAATTAAAAGGATAAGCAATTGATTGGATAATTACCTAAAATTGAACGACTAATCATATCTAACAACAATTAAAAAGGGGAGGAGTGTCGTTAATCCATTTCTAATTACAAACAAGTTAAAAGACATATATCAAGAACAACAATTTGATTGGATTATTAATTTTTAATTATATTCAAATTAAAGTGATTGACAGGTCCATATGTCACCCCTGGTGATATACCGACTGGGTCCCTTGCTAAAACAACATAAATCATCACAGGTCATAAATTACGTAACGTATTACGCAATATAAGTCAAGAACCCCAAGAACCTACCGTTCCTAGACACCAAGGGACCAATCAAGATTTTATTACCCTTTCAAACACCTTTAACCCCCGGAAATAATTGAGTTTCATGCTGAGAAACCCCCTTAGATCAGTCAAAATTAATCGCCAATTATCAAAACATTTCACACTTGTCTATATTTTTCACACGGTTGACGGTCATTAAATTAGCGCTTTTCATTTAATTTATGATATTAAAAGAAAGATATAGTCGATAATTTCTGATTGTAAATAAAACTGGCTAAATATTTAAAGGTATTTCAAATAAAAAACATATATAACTTAACCTTCAGCTCCAGGCAAAAAGACCGATAGTCGGCGAATTTTATATGTACCGCGCGTGATTATTTTTAGCTCGACATGAATTTATAAATAGATTTTCCCGAAAATCTTATTATAGTAACACCATTTTCTGAAAACGGAAATGACCTTGGCAATATTTAATGTTTACAATATCAGTCTTCCGATGTCATTTAATTCAATAATGAAATGGAAATTTGCGTTTTAATTTGACGGCGTTAAAAAGCGTGTACAGGGAAATCGTATAAGGCGTTAAACGGCGTGTATATGCAGCTACCTACAACGGCGTTAAAAGTCGTTTATATCGATCGCCTATAGAAGGCGTGATTCGGCGTGTATATGAAGCAATGGGTTAAGCAAGAAAAACAACATAATTTATGATTTTCATGACTGATGAACTTTCAATTGCTTTTATATTCTCTTTCGTCTTGAACAAATAACATATGGGGTTGCTTGTGAAAGTACAGTAACCAACGGTTGAATAATAATAACAAAACATGTTGTATAAGGTCCATTGGTTCAGTATTAGCAAAATGTAGGAAACTTAAAACCCTTAATAGAGAAGGAAGTGTTTGTCACATACACTGAAATACGTCAAAATCTAATTTGATTGACGTATATACTTTCGGAGACTCTTTAAACTCAAAGCAACTGTCGTTATTTTGAACTCATTGAAAAACGGGGCAATGCAAATTGAAAGATATTTTGTACACAAAATTTTGTTGAAAATCACAATAGCCATTTTTACTTTTATAACACATAATTTTCGTATTTCAATACAAAATCTTAATTTCTTTCCGTATAAAACGTACTGAATTTATCGAGCTGTGTCTTGTTAAATTGTGCAAAACGAGTAAATGATACATCATCTCGCTGATTGTATATTGCATTTGTAATCAGGAACCGGTCTCTTGTCAACAATGGAGAAAATATTTACGTTTCTTTATTGCGCTGCAATCAATCAATTTCCGTGACTTGAATTAGACTGGGAAGTGTACTACATACATGTATTATATGTGATCTATTTGAAAATAAGACCATTTCGGTTGCTTTTTTTATGTCTTTACCAATATTTACAAATATATTAAATAATCAATTTCGATTACTACCCAAAACGTTTGATATGTCACTCATCATTTAATCATCTAAGGGTAATATATTCTGACAAAAGGTTATTTAAGTGGTTGAAAAAACAACAAGTTTGAACAATAAATGCAAGAATGATGAATAAATAAATAAATAAATGAAACATTTTGTTTATTCCTGAGGCAAACAAAATTATCTGTATAATTCAAATTATCCTTTGTTTCAAATTGATTAACTGAATTCTAGGGTGTTCTATTGTTTGCAATAACAGACTAATTCTGCAGTTAAAAAATTATAAAGATTACACAGTTAAATAAAACATTAATTTTAGAAAATGTCATCACAGAAATGAAGCATTCTGCTCTTTTAGTAGAAAGATTTAACAGCCAAGAGGAACGAAATGACTTATTGATTACATCTAGTAGATCTATCTTGCAAAATAGTTTAATTGTATAGCCATTTCATTTCAAGATACACCAAACAATGACTACTTGCATCTGAGATGACATGTCGTGTATTATGTGAAATGATAATCGTTCCTGTTTTTCATTTTGGTATCAACTTCTAACTTCATAGATAGATATATTTCATTTTGGAGGAAGCGCGGTAACGAAGAATCGTTTTGTTTCTATTTGCATCTATTTGTAAAGTTTCAAATTGATACCTAAAATAATTGAACTTATGCCCTGGCAAAAAATATGCAAAATTATAATGGTCAATAACTCTTACATTATGCATAGGTAAGTTATAATTTACAAACATTCCAATCTCTATCTGTGAATTTTTCAATTGATATGTTCAATACTGTGAGTTGTGAGATATTTCCCTCTCTAAAAATTAAGCATGAAAAGCACAACAGAAAAATGTTTTAATGTCAATTTGAAATGAAGTTATGGACATCTCATGTACATAACCTGTTCATTCTTAAACTTTCAAATCATTACCTACGAAACCTATAGACTATATTCCTGAGAAATAAATATCATAAATAAATAAAAAATGAAAAAAAATACAGTCAATAATATTTTGAAAAATCGAAATATGGTAATTAGAAAAAACTTTTTTTCCAAAGCGATCTATCCATCAGTAAATTTCCTAACAAAGCTTTCTGTATTATTTATGCTATAGTCTGGACAAATATTAACCATAAAACACAAAAAAGGCAATAACTCTAAAATCATATAAGTATGTTGTTTTTCCGAATCGATATTTATCCATTGATAAAGTTTCAAATATTGGAACTTCAATTACAATGAAAGTGTGGCGAATGGACGGACTTCCAAACGTTTATATTATATGGCTTGTTTGATCTTAATGCGAATGTCCACATTCGTAGTTTTCTCCCTTTGTTGAAAAAGATTAAGGACGAACTTATTATTATATTCCATTCAATTTTGAAGTTGGCTAAAACTGAGACACAGACTGAATTAAACTTATAAACCATTTGATTTTGATGTTGGTTAAAACAGAAGGAACATCAGCCAGACTTTACATATGACTTCAGATGATACAGACAACCTTACAAAACGGCCATAGCAGGGAAATCGAAATTGTTGTAAAATCGGTGTCTATATACATTGTGCCAGATGAATGTTTACAGAAATACATGTTCATGTAACTTATAATTTTTGATAATCAAAAGAACTACATGTAGTACATTTTAAACATGAAACATTAAACCCTCGGTACAACCCATTAAAAAGTTTTGATACAAAGTTAGTTTTGATCAACTGAAGCGTTTCTATCTAAATCAGAAATATATTGAACGGGGGGGGGGCGTTCGGAATTAAGATAATAATTCATTTTTTGTACTAAACATCGCCATAATTTACAATTATAATATTATATACTTATAAATTAAATATTAAGTAATACAGATGAAATAAAACGCTTATTTTCATTTTCTGTATTTACACTACTATAATAAAGAAATATTTCTCACTGCAGTGAAGCATATTTTTCGTATATTAACTGGTTTATTACCAGACTGTTTCCTTCTAAATTCAACCAATACGAAGTCTTTCAAATTGTAATGTCAAAACGAGAGTGTACATAAAAACAGAACATTAAAGTTTTTGTCAATAAATGAATACCACCACTCATGAAATATTTATTTTCATTCCACTCGATAAAAATAATTCTTATATGTATAGGAAAAAAACTTGGATATCCTCTTTGTTGACCCAAAAAGGGACAAGATAGTACCATTAAATTATGAAACCTTTAACATTTTGCACGATTGGTATTAAAAAGGCTTCTTAAAAAGTCTTCCATATTTTGTTATTGAACTGAAAATGGTTTTAAAATTGACTTTATCATTACAAAAAGCATTGTTATCTTTATTAATCAATTTTGTTAATAATCTGATTATAATAAACAAATTACGTTGGATAAAGACATAAAAATGACATTATGCTCTTTTTCCATTGACAAGTTGAGCTTAATTAACTATGTATTTCAAAAGACTGGCCGGTGTAATTGTGATTGACCAATAGTTGATACTGGAAAATATTTAGGATAAAAACATAAATATTTCTTAAATAAAAAACAAACCGTCCTTATCTTCTTTTAAAAATTAAAAGATTATCGGTACATTTAAATGGATATAAACAGAAAAATCATTAAGCCATATGCATTTTGAATCGTTCATGGGAAATAAATAATAACATTGGAACGAATCATGACAAACTATAGATATATTTTGACTCTCACTTCTTTACTAACCATAAAAATATATACCCTTGGATGTGCATAATGTCACTGGCTCAAATAATTGTGTCTACAAATAGCAATACCAACAAAACAAAACAACATGAGTTGACTGATTCTGGTCTTGATCGTTTTTTATGAACAGCAAGAACTAGTGTATTTTTGGAGAAGGCGACGTTCATTGAACTTACGAGTGTTTAGTGTTTAGATAAATGTATCTAGGCAGTCTACAGCCTACAATGTCTTAGGGCGATACTAAATCACATCAGTACAATAACTAAACCTATCATCATTTAAGAATTCTAGACACAATAAAATAACGACTTTCTATCCCCACAATAATTGAGTTTGCCTGATATCAAATGAGAAATAAATTGCCTTTGTATTTGCCTACAAAATGATCAATCACTAGTTATCCAAGACAGTGACTTATATACAAAAATATATTCCGTTGAAAAAAATCATTATACACATCCGTCTAAAATTAACAATTATAGAGATTACAATTATTTTCTTTTTACAAAATATCAGTACTAAAATCTCCAACTTCGCGTTTACTTTGCAATTTCATCACAGCTATGGACACTCTTAAGATGTTTCATTTTCAAACAAAGATGATACAGCGTAATTTAATTTTTTGTTTATCATTGTAAACAATTGAGAATCAATCAAGACGTTATCATATTGAATATTTTTAGCTCACCTGAGCTAGCTCAGGTTAAGCTTTTAGGATCGTTGAATGTCCGTCGTCTGTCGTCCGTCCACATTTTTTCGTTAACACTCAAGCGGTCACATTTTTGATTAATCATCATCATCAAACTTTGTCAGAATGTTTATCTAGGTCACATTTTTGACTCAATTATCATCAAACTTGGTCTGGATGCTTGTCTAGGTAATTGCTTAGATGAGTTTGAACATGGGTCATCTGGAATGAAAAACTAGGTTACTGAAGCTAAAAATAGAAACATCTTTCTAACACCCTAGTGGCTACTGTTTTGATCCAATTATCCTAAAAAGTGGTCTGAAAGTTTGTTTTGATGATTTCTATGTCAAGTTCGAACACGTGTCCGGATAAAAAAACTAGGTCACACCGCCTAAATATGGATAAACCTTGTTAACACTCTTGTTTTGATGTTTTCTTGGTCAAGTTTGAATATGGGTCACCTTGGGTCAAAATTTAGGTCACACCGCCAAAATATGAAAAAACATTGTTAACACTCTAGTTGTCACATTTTTGACTCAATTTTCATCAAACTTGGTCAGTATGCTTGTCCAGGTAATTGCTTAGATATTTTCGAACATGGGTTATCTCGGATGAAAAACAAGGTCACAGGAGCTAAAAATATAAAATCTTGTTAGCACTCTATTGGCTACTTTGATCCAAATATCATGTAAATTGGTCTGAAAGTTTGTTTTGATGATTTCTAGGTCAAGTTCGAACATTTGTTAGGATAAAAAAAACTAGGTCACACCGCCTAAATATGGATAAACCTTGTTAACACTCTAGTGGTCACATTTTTGACACACTTATCACCAGGATGCTTGTCTAGGTAATT